CCTCTCTCTCTCTCTCTCTCTGTTGTTCCTGTCTGTGTATGTGGGAGGTTGGAGGGTGTCACTGGTTGGCCCTACCTATCTTTTCCTCTGCTGTGCCTGTCCATCTATCTGGTCACCCCCCAGGATCCCATGCCCGTTAGTGTGTCGATGGACGATGTGCATCTCTGTGCTCACAGCTGGTCACAGGCTGGCACGTTTGACAGCCGAAACGACATCATGTCATCTCAGAGGAAGCTGGGCTGTTCACGTCACGCTACCGACACCGATACCGTCACGATAACTGTTTCACTATTGAACATTGATATATGCACACAGACAGACAGACAGACGGACACACACACAAACAGACACATACACAGACATACACACACATAAACACGTACACACATACACACGCACATACACACACAAACACAGACACACATTACGTATATAAATTACATGAATAAATACATTGTAAAAATCTTACATATATAATACATGTAATATATTATATAATATATATATATAAAAACAGACATAGACACGTACACACAAACAATGACACATCCACACATAAACCCTCACACAAAAACACACACGTAGACATACACTCCTAATCCACTCACAATCTCCCCCAAAAAGCAACCACCAACTCTCCAATTCCCCCACACCCCCGCAGCGCCTCGCATTTCCCGCCATACTTCATGGACAACTGCCCCAAGACAAAAGCTTTACGTGCAGGGAGGTCAAAAACAGACAGATAATTTACACATAGCTGCCAACTTTTCCACACAAAAAAACACAAAACTCTACCCTCGCGATGGGTCTAGCCACATGGTGCGCATTGATCAAATTTTAATACCTCCCCTTCAAATCCTTCACATAATATACTTTTTAAAATCCAGGAAATTAAAACTATTCAAATAAGACCTGCAGCTGAAGATCTCTCCAATAATCTCGTGGACTTTGTTTTCATTGTTCTTCATTGATCTGGTCTTGAGACGTCTTTATCTTTCTCCACTATCGGCGTAAGTCCAGACGGAGCAATATCAGACCACAGACCTTTCTAAGTGCCCAATACGACAATGGACGCATGGATTCAGGCTGTCAAAGACGTATTAAACCATGGTGGGTTTTTTGACGTACAAGTTGGCAGCTGTGTTCACAGATCCTAGTTAGGATCTTTATGTGGTTTTTGTGTGTTCTGAGACAGTGCGTATCTTTTTCGCTCTCCTGGAGAGACGCCTTGTGCAGTTTATTGTCGGTGGAAGCTGATACTTATTGCCTGCATACACATACAAATAAGCAACCCCCC